CTTTAAACGGTATAATGTTTAACGGTATAACGGTATAACATATAATAAAGTATGTTATTTTCCTTATTGACTTAAAAGATCTACCAAAGCCTGCTACTCCAGTGATCCCAGGGGCAGCTATTTGATTGGTTGATCATTCCCCAATCACCAGAGCGGGATTGAGGCTGATTTTGAACTTGGCAGTTCATCTTGGTATTGCACAGCAAGTTTCTATGCCTTGTAAACTTTACCTTTTCAGTTAGGGTGTGCACTGCTGAACAATTTGTTCCTACAGTAATAATCCACCTGAACGTTTCATCTTGATACCTGTATAGCAGATTTTAACTGTTTAGAGCTAATGAAGCAATACGCTCACATAATGCTCTAGTACTTTCAACCTTTGGGGGAAGTTGGGATCCACATTCAGATCTGAACTTTGCAGTCCAGGTCCATCTGCATTACCTCTGCACTGAGGTTGGAAAAGAATGTACGCCACAAGCATCTGTCTAGCCGCCGGAGCAACTAAGGCTTTCACATCGATGAGTAGCAATGAGTCCAGTTATAGAGGATATTTTTAGGAAAAGCCACACAGATGTAGATGCTTTATAGACTCTTTCTTCCCGATCCCAGGCAGAGCCAGTCTGTCTATCCGCTCCCGTCATGTGGATTTAGACAGCCGTATTCGTCAGCGCTCTCTGCTGGGGCTACTTTCTCCAGGTAAGTATGAGCTGTGTGAGACAAGACAGCAGCTTTGCTGGTCTCGCAGCTTGCAGTTTGTGCCATACAAGCTTGCAGCAGACTGCAAATGTCCAGGGAGGGGCTGTCAAGATTCCAGATGGCAGGAGTAGGGAAAGAATTTTGCTTTTAGTTGAGTCTCTCTAAAATCATAAAAACATTGAGTTTCCATGGAGAAGCCATGAAGATGTGGTTTTGAGCAATAAAAGTATAAAAATAAAATATTTAAAAAATCCCCCACTATCAATATTATAAAGATTGGATGAGATCCAGTTTTTATATTTGGTGTCACTGAGGTCACTCCAAACAGCTCCTTACGTTGAACTGTAATCTTTACTAGAGATAAAACGTTCCTTTCCTCAGTATAATGGACTGGGTTATGTTGTGTGGAGACTGACATGTTTTACTGGCTCTCGGTCAGGTTGTAAAGCTGGTGGAGAGTATGATCACTACCAGTGATTTTATTTGTCCACAGGACCGCAAAATTTAAACATCTTGAGCCTTTTAAATTCCATTTGTCTCCTGCTGCACTTCCCTGCATTCCAGTAGATGCTGCATCACTGGATTGTTGGAACTAACTCCTTGATGACCCCTGTAAAAGCCTCCCCACAAAACTTAAAAACCTAGGGTCAGGTACTTAGCAGGTATAGAACAGTGTAGTTCCATTGACTTCAGTGGATCTCTGCCAATTTAGACCAACTGAGGATCTGGCTGCTAGAACACAATAAAACTTTCATACAGAGCAAGTTGCATTCTGCAACACAAGCCTAGGACATTGGAGTACTGCAATGTCCCTCTCTTCTCCCTATGTTACCCTGGCAGATATATGAGCATGTCAGGCCGAACTCTGCCTTCAAATACATGTACACAGTTCCCACTGATTGCACTGACATGCCTGTTAACACAATTTGCCCCTTAAGTGTGGATTTGTCCTACAATTACATAGCACTAGAGTGCTCACAAACATGTTTGGACAAAATTGTGAAGAGTTTGTTACAAATGCTTGCGTTGTTCCTTCAGCCGACCGACAGCAAGCCCCTATGCTACTGTTGGTCACTTCAGCTAGACTAGATTAAGCCCCAGGGGAGTTTATGTGCAAGCAACATTTGTTCGCATCTCCAGCTTTTGCTTCTGCTATGTGTTGTCATGATATGTAGGGGATAACATTCAAAACTGTTGTTGAAGGCATTCTTCAGGGACTTATCCCTGGAACAGTGGCAGGAAAATAGTCAGCCACGTTACCTTAGTTTTCCACCATGCTGCCTGAGGCAACTTCTCCTGTTGAGCATCTAAATAGAATATAAAACGAGAGAGAGAGGAATTTACAGTCCTCCATGGTTGCCCCAAAATCTCATCTTGCATGGTGTTGGCATTTTCACTTATACTATAGAGTGGGACAGGTTTTGCAATACTGCAGACAAAAAAGAACTCCTTGTTAGATGAGGATCAAACTCACACTGTGGCCAATGGATTAAATCAAAACGTCTTTTTTTGTGTGTGACAACGTATCTCATGAACAGTTGTTTATCTCCCAGGGGCAATTCTTGCTCTCTCCAAGCTCCAGCCATAAAATGGCAAGCTTGGCAAAGCCTGGCTATGACCTCAAAAATCTATACAGACCTAATGAATCTTGTAAGTTAGTAAAACCTCTTACGATCTCATTTCTGTGTTGGTGGATAACGTGGCTAGGGCTGGGCGTTGGGTGTACCTCCAAGAGTTGCAGTTTGATTTGTGCTGAGACTCATGCTTTTTCTATTTAAAAAATATGGAGGTGTATGGGGGTCCCCATTCAAATCCAAATGTTGGTGTGGTTTTGGTTTTTGCTGTAACACTAACAAAAATAGTGTGATAACTGAGATCTGAAAATGCCTTTTTTTTATTAAATATAAGCTGCTGATCTCTGTAAGGCTAGATTACATTGCAAATTAATTTTTATAAAAAACCCATGGAATCTGAATGTCATTCCAAATCTTTTCTGCTATCAGTTTGGCTACTATGTTATGCACTCATCCGCTGTCGTCATGACAGAGGAATACTCAGCAAGGATGCATTGATGGATGAAGCCAAAGAAAAGCATCAAAGACCCCAGGCAAAATGCACACCTCCCCTTTGTTTTCATTGATTCAGAAACTTTGTAAGTGCCATTCTTCAGGTGAAATCAAACACCAAGTGAAGCACTGCTGCCTTTATTTAACTACTACTGCTAGAACACCAGCAGTGATGGAAAAGTCCTGGGTTAGGCTTGGCAGATCTGCAGCACCTTGGCATCCCTACATGGACCCCTATTATTATTTCAGGAAGAATGCTTTCCTTACAAAATTTCAGAGCTGCATAAGATAAGGAATGTATCTCAACGATTTGCTTTGTTTACTCCTGTTTAGCATTTGTTCCTGTGACTTAAAAACAACTCAAAGAGTGCCATCTAGTGAGAAAAGATGTGTTCTCCATCTGCCAGACACAAAAACTGATGGAAAGAGCTGTACCCAGCCACCCCTTTTCCTGTTCATCTGGCAATAATGTTCTGCAGATGGGTCTCTCTCCCACATCTGAATCCTTCTTTAAGAGCTGAATCCAGCCATCTATCACGGGAGGGTTGTGCTAAACGCAAAGTCCCAGTGATCACTGACATGCCCTCTATTGCAGGTTTACACATCCCCTGATGCTGAGCTCTGGAATGCATACCACTGGAATCCCTCATCCAGCCATAGTACCCCATTCCGGGAAGCAAGAAATGGATCATTACGACCGGACCATGTAAGTCAGCAAGTCTTGAGACAATGGTGAGACTATCAAAATGGTCTCCTTAACTATTTAGTCCTAGTCTCAATTATTCCACTTTTTATATGGGAGGGGACGCTTTGGGTGGGAAAACCCTGTGGAGGCCAGACATGGAACATTTGCAACTCTGTCGATTCAACAAGCAAGGTTGGCGGCACTACGCTGTTGCCCCAGCAACTGAAAGGCGCCGGTGTCATGATGGGCATGATCATTAGAAGGGTCCGTGCCCTAGTTGCATAAAATACGCATTAGTCTAGGTTTGAGCTCAAGTGTTTTACTATTTAATATTTTCACGAGGAACAATTTCTTCTGACTACTGTTCAGTTCCAATAGCTGAGATGCAAGAGCATGATCGTTACTGACTGTTTTGTTTTTGTCCAGGAAACCCCAGCCAGAACCAAAGAGAGAGAAGGAAGCCAAGAAGCCCACTATCAAGAAGCCCCTGAATGCTTTCATGTTGTATATGAAAGAAATGCGGGCAAAAGTCATTGCTGAGTGCACTCTGAAAGAAAGTGCAGCTATCAATCAGATTTTAGGAAGGAGGGTAAGAGCACAGAACAGAACATAATGCTGGCTTCTAAGCAAAGCCATTCTCTTCTTCACAATCCCTTAAAGAGAGAGAGAACTGATTAACTACTTAATAACAAAACTATTACCTGGGAGGCTTTGAGGAAATCAGTGTTTCTTTAAATGTGGTCTGTGTCACTCCACAGAATAAAATGTTTAGATGAGCAAACAGTAGGAGTGATGGGGGTGTTCCTTAGAGGGATTAAGCCCATGGGAGGGTCTCTCCCCTACTAGTACTTTTTAAAATAACATTTTTAAACCACCAGGTAGGTGCCGTTTTATATCCTGTTACTGAAATGAATATTTACAAACCCCCTTTCAATATATGAGGGCAGAGGGGTGGAAGTACAAGATCGTTACTGTAATGGGGCTTGGCCGCGGTTCGTCCCTAAGCGGGGCTGTGGGGTATCCCACCGCCTCGCTCTAGTTCACGGTCAGTCCTGGTCCTGCGGTAGTGGAGGACAGCAAACCCACTGTTAGGGGCTCAGGCCCTTTAGGCAGGGACTGAGCCAATAATTCTATACAGACACCCAGGCCCTAGGTCAGGGCGGGGCAGCAACCAAACTGTCAGGAACTCAGGCCCTTAAGCAGGGGCTGAGTCAATAAGCAAGAGGTCCCAGCCTCTCCAGGCCAGGGAAAGGGGGAGTCTGCCACCCAAGGAGTGGGTGGCAGGGGGGACGCAGGCCCTCCCACTCCACTGCCTCTCAGCCCGGGGCCCTAGCAGTAGCGGAAACTCGCTGCTGTCAGTGAGGATCCTGGCCGCAACACACTGACATAGGCTCTGGCAGTGCTGCAGCCTGACTGTGGGCTACTTCCACACTCCCCCTCGTAGGGTAGCTGGGTCGTGCCAGTGTCCTCGGCGGTCTCCAGCAGCATCGGTTCCTCCGGGTAGGTGGTGAAGGGTAGGCTCGGCTGCTCCTCGGGGTAGCTGGCAAGGGGCAGGCTCAGCTCCTCCTCGGGGTAGCAGGCACGGGGCAGGCTTGGCCAGTCCTCCTTGGGGTATCGAGCGAGGGGTAGGCTCGGCTGGCCTGGTGAATCCTCAGGCCGGCCGCGGCCTGCTGCCGTCTCCCAAGTGGGGGCACGGTCACAGACGTCTGGTCTCTCTGTGCGGCTGGTTCTCAACTGAGCTCTGCCGGCGGGCTTTTATACTTCCGGGTCGGCACCGTGACCTCTGAGGGGCTGGCGCAGGACCCAGTGGCTCCGCCCCCGTTGGTGTTAGGGGAGGTTCGTCCCTCAGCGGGCCTGTGGGGTATCCCACCGCCTCACTACAGTTACCAATAGATCAGTGATGTGTAAACTAACCACTCCGACACTGGATCCTAATTTAAGGAGTATTATGACTAAGGCTGCGAGTTTGTCATGGAGGTCATGGATTCCGTGACTTCTGCAGCAGCCAGTGTGGCTGGCTCTTGGGCTGCCCTAGCAAATCAGGCAGCGGGGTATCCCACCGCCTTGCTCTAGTTCACTGTCAGTCCTGGTCCTGCGGTAGTGGGGGACAGCAAACCCACTGCTGCTGCTGGGCCTCCCCACGCACCCGCAGCACCCCCCCCCCCCAAGCACTCGCAGGTGCCCCCCAGCACCCGCTGCACGCGACCCCTCCTGGACTGCGCCTCTTCCCCTCCCTCCCCCCAACTCAGCACCTGCAGCACTCCCAAGATTTAGTCAGGGGTATAGTACAAATCAAGGACAGGTCATGGGCCGTGAATTTTTATTTACTGCCTGTGACCTGTCCATGTCTTTTACTAAAAATACCTATGACTGAAACGTATCCTTAATTATGACTATTGTAGAGGCGATGTGTTTGTTCCTGCTGGGGAAGAAGTGACCCCTATGGATCCAGCCATTAGGGGTCTATAAAACCTAAGGAGAAAAAGACTGTGGGGAAAGTGTTCCAAGCACCACTAGCTACATAGAGAACTTTCCCTTCATTCCCTGGGGAAGCCAATTAGCCATGCCACTACAGATTGAAGGGTCAGCCTTGCATCGCTTACCAGTGTTTTCCTCAAGCAGGTAGCAAGCTGCTCACCTTTAGAAGTGTGTACATTGTCCTTATGCCACTGTAGATGCCCAGCATCAAATTACCCTGATGGAACTCAACTGACACGAGTGGCGCTACGCAAGGGATAATGGAAGGAGATCCCATCTAGCCCTCATCTCATTCTGACAGCAAAGAGGAATGGTGATGAAATGCACTGAGGAGTCTCACATGGACTTTTTTGTTGTTGTTGTTGTTGCAGTGGCACGCACTGTCACGGGAGGAGCAGGCCAAGTACTATGAACTGGCTCGGAAGGAACGGCAGCTTCACATGCAGCTCTACCCAGGCTGGTCTGCTAGAGATAACTATGTGAGTGCTTAATGTAGCGAGGGACTAAAGGCCGCATCTTGGCAGCGTGTTTAGAAATCTATAGTTGAACCTGAAAATGTCACCTGCCTGATTTAACAGCTGTCCCTGATAGCGTACCTCCTGATAGCCATGGGGCACACCAGTGCATTCATACAGATAGGTGATAGAGGGGAGGGTATTCATATACCCATAGGCATAAGAATATATGTCTAAGGAATACATTACATTTTTTGTTTGTGGATTAATATATACTTTTGGCAAGCATGTCACATTTCCCAACAGCTGCTAAATGATGTGTCTTTATTAACAAGGAGGTTTGCATACTTATTGTCTTAGGTAGAAGCTCTAATAAAAATACCGAGGTTCATATGAAAAATAAGCAGAAATCAAAATGATTTTTAAATTACTTGAATGGTTGTTGGCAATATTAGTCCTATGGAAATATACTCCTATGATGGCCTTAGGCAGTCAATGGTTTTCCATCTGTGGTCCATGGACAACAGAGGAGCATTTCCTGATGATCCGCAGAATGGAACATTTTGAGAACTACCTCTTAGGGCGGGGTGAAGGTTAGGAAAGGAGGGGGGTCTAAGAGGAAATCACAGCCTCTGAATAAAAGATCTGGAGAACTCCTGGCCTAAGACTTTGATAAATAGAGAGCTGCAATGACTTCCACAATACTCACTATGGTGCTTGTTAGGCCCTTTTCCTGAATTCCTTGGCGGGGGGGAAATCAGCTTTATGGATTCAGGAATGACCGAGAGAAAATCCTTCTCCTTTAATATGGCTACCTCCCCCATGGAGAGTTTATGGTTTAAAGACTTTATACTCATTTTTTATTATTTGTTGATGGTAGCACTTACTTTGCTGGTAAGATGGAATGTCCCTGCCCTAAAGAGCTTACAGTCTAAGGACAGATAAACAGAGGTTGGGGGTAATGGGAAACCTACTTTTTTCTTTCCTTTTACTTTATTGTTCTTGTCAGGAGATTTACTGCAGGTGGCAGTAGGTCTTCAAGAGTGCCTTAACTGTGGAGAGTATACAGGCTTTGTAGATGAACTCCCTTACGGGCTAAGCAGTCTCTCACCTATCCTTATAGTACTGTATCATAATTTAAAAAACTATTTAATCTAAAAAATTAGAAATATCCCTACTCAATGACATGACATGTAACATCAATATTGTTTTGCTCTGGGACTGATGTGTCTCTCACTTAAGCCGGTTTTATAACTGAGTAACTCCACTGATCTCACAGGAATTGCTCCTGATTTACACCAGTGTGAAACTAGACAAAGTCCTTTGATAAGTTTGCCAGCACTGACCTCAGGTACGGAAGCAGCTCTACTGCCCAGCATCAGTCAGTGCCCTGAAGTTACTGGCGATATCAGTCTTTGTATTTTCTGTTTCCTTAACTATACAGAGCATAAAATATTCACAAGCTGATTCTGTTGCATTTCCCACCCATATATAACAATTAACCAGTAGTTTTAATTAGCTATAAATATACTGTAACAAGTGAAAGTTACTGAACTTCCATGAGCTTTGGGGAATTTCAAATGGGATCCTTATTGTTTCTTCACTCTAATTCCATTTACCATGGTTATAGCCTCTCTTGGCCATTATTATGACACCTTTATTATCAGAGGAGTTGGTGGCCTTTGGACTTTTTCCAATATTGCTTGCCATTCATTAGGAGAGAATTCCACAACAGTGGAGATAATGATCTTCATTGTACAGATTCTAGTCCCGGCCTTAGGTTAGCTGCCTACCTGGGTTAACTTTCAATCCATTCATGATGCTGCTGTCATAAATAAAGGTAAGTACAATGTTGTCTAATCTGGGATCATATGCTGCGTTTACAGGATGACAGACTCACTGATCTAATAGGTCTTTACCCAATCCTATGATTCTAAAGGGGTCCCAAACAAATGTTATGTTCACAGTGTTCAACTAAAACAGGAACATCCAAACATGGCAGCGGTTCGTCTCTCAGCGGGGCTGTGGGATATCCCACCGCCTCGCTCTAGTTCACTGTCAGTCCTGGTCCTGCGGTAGTGGGGGACTGTCGGTGTGCTAAGCCTAACTCTTCCATGATTCTCCAGTCAGAGCAGGGATACCAGGGGCAGGTGTTTTTATTTTAAATGACCATTTTAGACAAGTGTCCAGAATAAGGTTGCTGAATAGAACAGCAAGAAATATGCTCTGTAAACATCTCAGCTGTCACTGCTGGATTCAACACATGGCAATGTCAGAGCAGCGTTCCCCAGTGGTTGTTGGCAGTGTGAAGCATGATCTGCAGTAACCAATGGGGAAGGCCATGAAGCACACTGAACGTTGGGATTTCGAGTACCCATAGGCTATGTCTACACTTAGGATGGCATGTAGAATACATACACTGCATGGCTGTCTAGCATGGGTATAAATAGCAGTGTAGCTGGTGAGGCACTGCTTAGGTGAGTAAAGTAAAGACATCCTAAGGTTCTGGCGTACGTACCCTACCTGGCTCTCTACACACCCAAGCCATGCCTTCATAGCAGTGTAGCATCCTGCCGCCTCCCCCTGCCAGAGACTTTCCCCGATGGGTGTAGCTACACTCTGCAATATGGACACAGCCTGCAGCTATGCACACCCTACATGCCGCAACCACCAGTGTAGACAAAGCCATAGTCACACAAGCCATATCTGGGTCTCTCCAATTCTCTGTATGTTTGTTCTCATCTTGATTAGATTCCTAGAACAGTAGGATCCAACAGCCTTGGTAGCAATTCTGAATCAATTCATTAAACATTAGTGAAATATTATTTGTTTTGTTCTGTCTAGAAATCTGATTAGGTGGTTATATTTATAGAGGATGGGATTTTCAAAAATGCTCCCTGTTGGCCTAAACTCTGCTCCCATTGAAATCAAGGGGAGTTTTACCAGCAACTTCAATGGGAGCAGAGTTAGGTCATTCATAGATGGTAGGAGCTGAATCTCTTGGAATCAAGTAAGAGAGAATTTTGAAACACAAAGCCTTATTTGAATTAGACTCTAAAGAGTATTTTTTAAAGCAGACACCTGATGTCCCTTTAGCACCATTTTCTTTGTGTTCTAAATTGATTTTTTTTTTCTCCTGACCATTCCAGGAATGTTTCTGTGACTACTAACTTTCAGGCGAGTACCAGCTTCCAGTAGCTAAACCCTGGTATAGAGTAGTCTGTCTGAAACAGTCTCATCACCTCTTTACTTTCTAATCTGTGGCACATTTGAGAAGAGCCACTATAAAAAATAAATCATTTCCCCATTTTCTCTTAGCTGTACTGATCATTTAAGCGGCAACCCCGTTAAGTGAGGTTTTGTAGGAGTAAGAGTGCTACACAAACGTGCACATTCAGCTTTGCTTTTCTAGTCTTTATTTTGAGGCTAGATAGAAATTCCTAACTAGTTAGCTTGGGACCTGATCCAAAGCCCATTGCAATCAGAGGGAGTCTTGCATTTTCTTTTAGCTGCTCCCTTCTCTCCTAATGCTGCTAAGATAAATGATCACGCCACCAACTGTGTTTATAGCCACTCCTTGGCTTCCCAGAATGGCTGTTCTCCAGGTGACTCCTCATTCCATAAGTCTGCATCTCTCTCTGTGGCACTCCACCAACCTCAGCCAAGGATCTCCTGATGGAACATACATGGGGGAATTTTGCATGTAGCTCTTCAGGGTTCTCAGTGGCGTGTATTCCCCTGGGATGGCTACTAAACCAGTATCCGAAGCAGCAGTCAGTGGTGTTATGAGTGCCAGGGCAACACCAGCAGCCTCTGATACAGCAGGTTGCTTTCCCCCCCGCCCACACATGAAGATGGAGTGCTTCCTTTAACAAAACCGCCTCGTTCTGCATTTCTCCCACTGAATCTTTTCTCCTCAAAAAAAAAAAAAAGGAAGCTGCCGTCTGTGCTCTGGAAACATTCTCTCACCCTACCTGCACTTCTCCAGTAGCCCCCATATCTTCTGCTGACCATCTAGGCTCTAGTAGTCTGCTCATCAGCTCATCCAAAATTGTTTTGGGACAGAAGTGCCCAAAGCCAGGAAGCGGCTGCTTTGTGATTTTTCTCACTGTATCTACAACAAATGCTTTTCTGTCTCCCCAGTTTTGTAACTCAAATGGGGAGGAGGAATCTAGGTCAACGCCCTTGGCACGTGACTTGATATGAGACAGGAAATACAGTTACTCCCACACTGAAGAAAAGCTCACCGCGATTAGGAGCTTTCCACCTTCACTCAAACCACAAGAAGTCATATAAGAAGTCACAGGTCAAAGCCAGCACTGCAAGCAGCCCTTTCATACAGGACAGATTTGCTCCAGCAGCTCTTGTGCGCTTGTTAATAGAACTCATTGGGACACAAAGGGTGTTATTATGCATTCTGTGTCAGAGAAGCAAGTAGAGGATAAAAATGTGTTTCCTTACTAATGGGCAGAAGAAACGGAAGAATTGATAGGCGGGTCCAGAACAGTGAAGAGAGAATTGAAAAACACAAAACTGGCTATTTTTAAGAGTCCTTAACAACACTAATGTGGTCATGGCTGTTATCACCAAATATTGTACACTAAGAAGAGCATCTTCTCTTCAGTGATACGTCAGCCGCACAGAATGCTGTCAATCCCATGGAAGCTCTTCTGTTCAGCCTTAACATAGGCTTCCTTTAGAGTGCACTGCTTTACTAGCGTGAAGATAAAATCTATTTTATTTTTACAAGTTTCTAAAATGCGCCCAGCACTGCACAGAAACATAAAAAGGCATGGTCCCTTCTGCAAAAGGTTTTAGTCTCATTTTCTTTGTGATGCAGTGAGGTGACAAGCAATAGGAAGGGAAGTTGTGAAGAATGGCCAGAGTTACAGTAATAAGATCACAGAGTGCCTCAGTGGGGTATGGGCATATTTTGTTCTATTCATTTAAAAAAATAATAATAATAATGGGCCAAACTTACTGCTGGTGTAAATCACTGGGAGAAGCTAAAGAATGTTGTTCAGCAGTTTAGACCCAACGCTAATGTGAGTAGAACTATCAGTATGTAAAACAATTCCAACGGGGGAAGGGTAAGACAAGGAGTCAATTGAAATATTGCCCTATGGTGTTGGCAACCCAAATAAAAGAGGGAGTTTGAAGAAAATAATAATCTACTGTGTTATTTAGTAACACAGGCAACATATGAATTTATCTTGACCATATTCTCGAACGTCTACACACTGAAAGAAAGAAGATACCTCTTAGGGTTGTTTAACCAGCCAGTTGCCATTTTGAAGAATCAGTTTTGGCACACCTGGGAAGCAACAAGAAGGGATTTGCTGATTCGCCGTTACTGATTTAAGGTTGGGACTAGTACTGTATTGTCAATCAAGTAACAGTGCATTACTTTCCTCTTCGGATCTCATTATACCCAGCTTTGCCAACCCCAAGCATTCAAGAGTCATGCCTTAAAAACAAAAACAAAACACACACACACACCATTCCTGATATTTTAAAAGTAATACAGTTGGGGTTCTTTTTGTTTGCCTTATGCTGTTTGATGGGTAGATCTCCAAATATATAAGGTTCATGATTTCAAGCTTCTCCCTGCAACCCTGAGGGCTATTTTTGTCTGCTGAGATTCTCTCATACCATAATTCTATGAGCTGGGACTTTAAAAACCACCATTGTGAGACTTGCAATAAAGTCTGGGGCGTTGACAACACTGTTTACCTTCTGTGCATGTATTGGATTTATTTAAAGAGATCAGTTACTATTTTAAAACTTTACCATTTTTACTATTTTAATACTTTGCTCTTCAGTCTTCAGGCTCTTCAGCCCGTGAACACACTCAGTTATACTCAGGGCCCCTGGAATTCTGCGGCACTTCAGGGCCAGTTTCTGCGGCAAGGGTAAGAGAATTCTGCAGCGAATGTTAGTCAACTCTGCAGCAGTGAGAACGTGTAGCTGTCTGCCACTCTGTACCCACCGACTCCAGTGTTAGCTGCAGAATTCCAGGAGCCCTGAGCTTTTCACACTTCCATGGCCATGGAATCGCTCACTGGCTATGGAATTTATTTAATCCTCTCACTACACTTCAGAGTACAGTGTGGGCTAAATGTTGCTTTAAAGTCAATGCCCGGTATGTCATTGGACATTGTTCTATTATGGAACAGAACAGAACAGAGACAGACGTGAAGAAATTGCAACAAATGGACGATGTGTTTTTTCCATTGAGGTATTGGAAAAAGTTAAGTCTGGGACCAGCCCAGTAGTGCTGGTATCTTTACTCCTGATCTTCAAGAACATTAGCTGGAGTGTGAGCATTCAACGCTATCCAGCGACTTATACCCATAAGTCAAGCCTGTGTCAGCAGGGCAGCTGGCATCAGACACTCATTGACAAGCAACAGTGAATGGAGTGCCCTGGATTTAAAATGCCAGCCTTATTTTGCTCAGATGGAGTTTAGTCCAAAGGAGGAGGGTTATAGCGGTGTTCTAACCAGCTCCTTCAGTGCAGCTGAATTTGTAACATGGATGTGATCGTAGACTAGAGTTACATAACGTGGTTTGACCATACCCGCAAATATCAGGGAAGCAGTGTTAGCACCTTGCTAACAATTAACATGTTTGAGCACAGTAAAAGCTAGAGTGTGGACAGGGCCTCAGTGGTCTCCAAACTCTTAATCACTTTTCTTAAATTATATGTAAGTCTTATGCACCATCTTTGCTGCCTGTTGTGGAATAATCAAAGTGCTTATGATATTGGATTCCAGGACTTTGAAAAATGAGGAAAATATATTCCAGAAAATAGTAGATTTGTGGAACGTGAAAAACAGGCCCTAGATAGTTGAGCAAATGCTTATTTTAAAAACATTGGCTATGGTTTCACTCAAGGGGACCAGAACATGTAGTTGGAAAAGTGGGTGTTCAGATAAATAAACTGTTTGGCCATCTCACCTGCATTGATTTCCATTCCATGTGCCTAGTGCTTAGCCTCAGAATGGAAAAAAATTCAACCATCACCTCTCTGCTTTTTGGTTACGATCAAGTGTTTTGTTAATCTAACTGGGGGTCGTATTCTCCTGTGACCGGAGTTTATGATCTACCACACTGGGGCATTTCCTTCTCTAACTACTTGACGATGATTTATCTAGAGACACAAAGTGGGTGAGGTAATGTCTTTTATTGGACCAACTTCTGCAGGCAAGAGAGGCAAACTTTAGAGCTTACAGAGAGCTCTTCCTCCAGTCTGGGAAAGGTACTCAGAGTGTCACAGCTAATTATCTGTCAGTGGCATCCTCGGAACTGCTCATCCTCTCTCATTTTTAGTAACTCCTTCATGACAGTTGAGGAAGATATAGCCTCTCTATAGAATTTGCTACCTATGTTAGCGATATCCCTCCCTATCAGTTTACTCATGCCTTTAGGCACATCCCTCCAAGAGGAGCTTCAGGAAGAAGAAATTCCACCTCCAAGTTTCCTGCTGCACAAGAGGAGCACCAGGCTTCTACAGTCTTTCAGGCCCCTCCCTGCTGCAAGGCCAGGCCATGATGGTGACTCTCTGCTGCACAGGGACCCAAAGCAGGAGGCTCCTTATAGCTTCCTTCTCTCCCCTGGCACTTTCAGAGATCATCAAGGCACAATCTGGCCCTACATGCCCAGAACTGTCTATACACAATATATATTACTGCATGTGGAGAGAGATTCTGATTTGGTGAATTCTGAAAAATGGTGTTGCATCCCATAACTTCCAGTGTATGTTGAAATACTTGTCCTAAGTCGTTACCAGTATGTTCCCTTTCCACGAGGGTTCGCGCTATATCTTTTTGTCTGTCCATCTGTGTTGAGTTGGCATTTATACAGATCAAAGAAGCAGTGTTTCATTCCTGCAACGATTCAGCTGGCCCATTGGCGGCTACCTTGTGGAAGATCCCTAAGCCTGCACAGGCTGATTTGTGGAATAAATCACTGGTTTTGGTATGTGCTTGCATTTGGGAATATGGCTGGCAAAGGAAAGCCCCCACTGTGCTGCCTGAGCACTTCTCTCACTGAAGGGGAGACAAAGTATAACAGTTGTTGTTCAGGACTCTGTGTCTCTTCCTTTGTATTTAAAAATATGGTATTTCATAGTAGAGTTTGCTGTCTCCAACTGTCAACAAGGTTCTTCAAAATGAATATCAGAGACTAGATCATCTCTGGCAACTGTGAAGACAGATAGCTCTAAACCAGACAGAAAATGAAGCAGTGGTTTCTCCCTATGCTTTTGTTACACCACGCAGGCCTGTGTTCGCCACGACTCGCTAAACTGTAGCTTAACCATGACTGTACATACATCTCTAAAACTCTAAGGAAAGGTTGGTTTTACCAGCAACCTTTTGCTGAAGTTATCAACCGTAGCTTTGAAAAAAAACCCCACACACCTTTAATTCCTAATGTGTGGATTATTGATGGGCAAGTGGCCAATCAGGTGCCACAGAAAGCTGTCTGGTTCTGTACAAGGCCCCTCATTGCATCATCTGTGATGAATGAAATGACAAAAAGGGAGATGTACATATCAGACTGGGCAGGTCATGTTGGGAGGTTTAAGTTTGCTACTGCCCCTGAGCTAATAGACCTGTTTTTTTAGTATAAGCAGAAGAGGGCTCATGCTTTTAGTTCCAAAGGTGCTTGGTTCAGTCCTCATGGGCAACAACAACTCCAGATGTTGTGACGCTTCATGAATTTTACTTATGCCCTATGACTGTCCCTTTCAATTGTTGTGTAGTCATAATACTGAACAGCCTCCACCAGTCCTGAGAGAAGAAACTAATATTATTTCCCCTCTTGCATCTTAGGGAAAAAAGAAAAGACGAGCAAGAGAAAAGCAGCAAGACTCCAATTCAGGTAAACTAATTGGTACTGAATTCAGCATGTTACTCAGTAGCTTATCACTGGGTGTTGTATTTTGCCATCCAGGTTTTAGCTCATTTGATCAGCTTTCTAAAGCTAAAAAATGGCATTTTAAAGTCACAGTAAATTTCTTCTATAACTATCTTGTTCCTAAAAACACATGGGTGGCGTTTATGAAAACTGAGCAAGCGGGATTCCAGACCTGAAGAGCTCTTTGTAGCTCAAAAGTTTGTCTCTTTCACCAATGAAAGTTGGTCCAATAAGAGATATTACCTCACCCACCTTGTCTCTAATATCTTTGTACTGACACAGCTACAATACTGCAGTCAAACTAGATTGTGGCTAATAAATCATTTTTAATAGAAGTCACCCCTACAATTTGTTCTGCCACAGAGATATTCAGGGGAAATGCTCCAGTAGGTTCTGAATGGCAGGAGGCACCAATGTCCTTTAGGCAGAAGTGATGCCTTTATCCGTTAGATGCATCAATATTGCATATCTAAGAGCTATGAAACCTCTTTAAAGGCCACCCCAGGGACCACATCACAAATCTTTTTGTAGTAGAAGTGGCCTAAAAGTCAAACAAAATTGCACTGAAAACCATGGGGTACTTTAATGTGGTTGCTAACAACAGAGAGCTCTTTATTGGAGGTGGACCTAGTGCAGATTTCACTGTGTAGATAGATGTGTGTGCACACCCACACAATCCAAAGTTATTCACATCCTAAATTTGGAAGCATTTCTAACTTATCTGTACTAATGGACCTTTGTTATATCACATCCAGAGAAAATGTCCAGGCATATGCTTTGTGTCTCTCATGAAGCTAAACTGCACATTTCTTATAGTAAGTTAATGTTTCATCTCACTTCTTGCCTAGATTGATAACAAATGTAAGATTTCATGTAATATAAGTGGTGTAAAAATAAATAATTTCACCCACCACTGGAATGCAACCCTCTTTGGGCTGGAAGGCAGCTGCTGATTAACGGCACAGAGCAGGAAAAGTTGGCAATTATGAAAGTGAACGAGTAACATTGACACAAAGGTACTGCTCAGATTTCATTTACACTAGTGCAAAAAGTTCAAATGAAAATAGGGCACTACCCCAATCAGCCCCTATTGTCACACAGCAACACTACACAGGACTTTAGGGCAGTACATGCAGAAGAGTGGCTTGTCCATTAGAACTAGAGAGAGAATTTAGGGAAGCAGAATGGAATTGCCCCATATGGGTCTCATTGGTGCTATTTGTTTCCAATCTGCTTCTGCAGTATTTTCCTCTTCTGTTTTAATATATATGAGGACTCAGTTCTTTGGGCGGCCATTTAACCAGGGAGCAGGTAAGATTTCAATACAGGAGGCAATGGGTGGCTGTCTGATTTGGCAGCATTTCAAATCTAAGAAGTTTGACGTTCCATAAGAAGCAATTAATTTCCAGGTAAATTCCTAGCTTTCCTGTAACTGAGTGTCGACTGCCTGGACTTGGCTTTGTGGAGAAGTGGTTGAGCTAGGAGAGCACCAGAGGTGGGAGGGACCAAAGTCTCCAACATCTGTAACATGAGGCCATTTCCCAAACATCTCCCCCCTCCCCCCGCACTGGGTGTAATCTCTGAGGCTAGGTCTACACTACCCACCTGAATCGGCGGGTAGAAATCGACCTCTCGGGGATCATTTATTGCGTCCCGTCGGGACGCGACAATCGATCCCCGAATCGACACTCTTACTCCACCAGCGGAGGTGGGAGTAAGCGCCGGCGACAGGAAGCCGCAGAGGTCGATTTTGCCGCCATCCCTACAGCGGGGTAAGTCGGCTGCGATACGTCAAATTCAGCTACGCTAGTCACGTAGCTGAATTTGCGTATCTTAAATCGACACCACCCCCCCCCGTAGTGTAGATGTAGCCTGATACTTGCCTAACAATCCCTTTTTTACAGGAAAGTGGGGTCTGAATAGTTCCGTTGCTGAAGAATTGGATTTTAGTCTGTTAGTTTTGTCTTAAGTGGCTGAAATGATGTTGCATCTTTTCTTCTTCCTCCTGCTCCTGCTCCTCCTCCTCCTCCTCTTTGTGCCTCTGTCTTGCCCATTCTCCGCCACGCATGCTTCTGTGTTCAGATCCCGCCTCTCCTAAGAAATGCAGAGCTCGCTTTGGCCTCAACCAACAAACGGACTGGTGCGGCCCATGCAGGTGTGTATCAGAGAAACTCTACTCTGCTTTTAGTGCCTTTTCCTGAGCGCATTGTTTTCCCCCCTGTATGTGGTTTTATTTTTCATGCATGTTTCTATAGTGCCCTTGGCTCCTAACACACAAAACAAACTACTGGCATTGCTAAAATTTGTTCCTTCCAAACTGGGAAGGTTTTCCCCGGGTATCATTGTTGTGGGCTGGTATTGCTGAAGGTTCCCCCCAAATTCTTTCAATTTCTAAGAGAAGGGAGTTAAAGGGACGTATGTTGTCAAGGTTGCCAGACCCAAAATTCGACACGTATTTCTTAGAACAGGTTGGTGAAGTGCATGTAATAGTTTACGTGTTTTATTAAGATTCATATTTCACTGTTCCTGGGAGGCTGATCTACAGGGTCAGAGGTTCCTACAATGGTGCACATGTGGAATGGAGGAACACAAATGCTTATTCCCCATCTTCCTATTTCCAAAGAGGGACCTGATGTGGAGCCTTTTCCCCGCCTATATAGCCACCACTTTGAGGGCCCATACAATGTACCCAAAGTGCTGCCTTTCCCTATTTACATTTGGGACTAAAAATGTACATTACTGTAGTACGCTGCCATTAGAACAGTTAGTGCCCCACGCAATGAGATGTTCTGAGGACTCCACCAACTCAGGCTTCCAAGGAACGAATGAGGGACTAGAATGAAATACCTTGACAAGTGAACAGAATGAGTAATACCTGGGTCAGAGTGTCATTAAGCAGTCCCAGGCATGAGAGGCCCATGACCTACTTCTGGACAACCATCTATGGAGTAAATGCAGCCTGAGCAGAGTAGAGGTGTGTACAGTTCTCAGTACAATCTGCTGAGTCACAGGGCATTATAGTTCCATCTTTTGGCTTCTGTCTAGCAAAACCTGAAAGTTATTTGCATTGCATTAAAAAGCAAATAACCTGAATCTCTAAAGGAATATGCAGCTATGAGGGGCCTAGATGTTGGCTGATCACAGCCTGTGATGCTGGTACATTCTTGGCTGGAAATGGGGGCTTCCAGACTGGAGCTTCAAAAAACACTCTCTTCTGATTGATCCAGGGTGTCAGATACTGGCTATCCTTCAGAGACCGCTCTATTTAACGGGCAGTGTCCTGATGCAAGTTGTGTAGTTAGATTGGTCCAATTTCCAGCATATCACTGGTCATAAAGAGTCTTAGTTAACCCCTTGTATTCTCCTCCTACACAAAATTGCTCCCAGTCTGTATTTGATCTTTCCCCGGGGGAATTCTTTGTATAGCCCTGAAAATTCCTCATTTCCCTTTTTAATACAACACACCCTCATGATGCCACCACAATCACCACCTTTCTGACCTTGGACGACTGGGGTGCCCTTGGCAGCGCTGAATGCTGCACCTAAAATTGGTCAAAGAGCCTCTTGTGTGATGTAGGCCTTTCCTAGCAGCAGTGCCAGTCAGGGAATTGACAGACCACGACAAAGTGTTGAATCCGGGTCTCCCATGCAGCCCTGAAGAGCACAATTCCTAGGTGTGTGGGCAGTGTTCGTATTTTTACTCCCAAGTTTATTTGGGATCTCTTAATTAGGATGCAGTGCTAACACTTTGCTTTGCCTGATGTTGCTTACCAACTAACACGCATTGCTGGAGTGCTCCTAAGACCTTAGCATGCTTTCTTGTTTTTTACCCTGACATCTCACATACTGTATAGTAGCAGCTGTTCTGCAATTCCAGGTACTAATACACAACAGCCAACTTGGGGGCTTCAGAAGTGTATGCTTTCTCATCATTGACATCTGCCTCTGACAGAAACCTCCAGAGAATATCCATTCCAAAATGGGAGAGAATTAACTGATTAAAATGCTTTGTCCCCTCAGAAGTTGTATCTTCATCTGGGAAAGCTTGGTTCTATTAGACTTCTTTTCCAGTCCCAACATTTAGAGGAAAGATAGTGGAATCTATGTAATTGGTGAACTAGTCTAAGCAATCCATTGAAGTCTCCACAGCTTGGGTCATGAGGTGTATTTTTATTGTGTCCATTTATCTTTTAAGTTGCATAGCCTACATGTAAATTTTAGGCCTCAAGGGTTAATGTATCTAATCAGGCATGGCAGGTCTCCTTATGGTTTATAATTTTACTGTTTAAAGAGGGAGTTATTCAATTCATTAACCTTTCCCCTCCCCCACACAGATTTTTTGATTGAGTATAAAATACGGTAGTCAGTTTTCTTCCTGCACCTACCTCACACACAGCAGCAAGTGCCTGAGGTGGCATGGGGAAATGACTTCACCATGGGCTTGTCTACAGTGGAAAATTCTATCCCATTAGAAGCCAGGTGAACATTCAGTTTACACAAGGACTGTCATGTTTAATACCATACCTGCTGGTTCACCCTAAAGTGAACCACAGCACTGACACTTTGAATATAGAAATCCTAGAGACCAGGTGAACTGGGAGCAATGTGATAACTTTAGTCCAGGCCTTCTTGCTGTAACACTGAGAATACTGTCTTAACTCCTCCTGCGTACTTACAGATAACTAAACGTAGGCTAAATCTTAGCATTTCCGAATAGATTGAACAATGGAGTAACCTGTCAATGACTCACTGCCAAGTAAGTTTACAGAGAAGATGATTATTAGTACATGCACTGTTGAAGCATCCCTCCTCATAGTCTGTGAATGAATGGGGCCCCTGGAGCTACTCTTCTGCAGTGATGTATGGGGTGGACTGTAATGACCCAAGTACCCTTCTCTTCTGCCTGGATTTGCTTTTCAAAGTGGTTAGAGTTTGTCCTACAAAGGGATCTGGTCCATAAGACTGGGGTCATGTGAGAATAGAGGTAGTGGAATATTTTAGTGAATATTTGCTGTGAATTTACCCATTTTCCTTATTTGAGAATGGATTTTTCGCAACATCTGACCAGCTCTGTTTAATCACAGTCCATTGAGAAAAGGTGTAGAACGGATTGTTTTGAATCAAGGGTTTGGTTAAGGGTTCAGTCCAACACTTCCCACTATTCTACCTCCATTACACTCCTCACCAGTATCGGAGCTTCTTATAGGGACAATTCATGGTCAGCTTTCCTCACCCAGAAGGTACATTGGTTGAAGTGTGAGCAATGGAGTTGTCATGGCAGCTGCTGTCTTTTCCTGAGCTAATTAAACCAACAACTGCAAGTGGCCTGTACACCAGTATAAACAGGCGTTCTACCCTCCAGAGACTCACAGGCCAGACAATTCTATGTATTCGTGACTCTGCTGACTTTCTGCCTTCCCCAGGGACAATGCTGGCCCTAGATTCATTAGCATCCCAGACTTGAAAGGATTTGGCACCTTCTGACCACTTTCCTCCTCTGGCCAACCCACCCAGTCCCCTCCTCTGCAGTTTTTCCTCCTCCAAAAGATGGTCCCTGTTCCTCTACTCATGGCTGAGCAGGAGCACGTTTCAGTCTTAGATATGCCCCAGAGTGCTCTGTGGTTGTGCTTTAATGCAGGCACTGCACAGCCAGTGCAAAGAATTTGGGATTCAGATACACTGTGGAGGCCTAGGCAGGATCGAGGGTCCCCTTCAGGAGGAACCAGGGTGGGCAGATGTAGGAAGCAGTTCAGAATAGCACTGGGGATAGATCTGTTCTTCCATGAGGAGCCATGGGTGGCCATCTGCTATGCCTGAGGCTGTCTCTGTCTTCTACCTGATCCCCTCTTGTGGATCAGGTAGAAGAACCAGAGTGGGTGGCACTGCAGCTAGAATGGAGGGACATGAGCGCCCTACCCCTAATTTGAGTCCAACTTTTGAAAATGTTGGCCTCTTTTCGATCCTCTGGGGAAACTGCCATCCTTTCACTTGGCTAATCCTGAAGGGGAAGGGCAGAACGCTGTAGTTATCCTTCCTTGTTTCCCCAATGACTACATTGTTCCCAAATCATTCTTCCTTGTGCCTTTGTTTCCACTTCAAACTATAGCCGTAGAAGAGTTCAGGTTGGTGCACCCCTCCTCCTCTACTGAACAGGGATGTTACCAACGTGCTCTCGTTGTTGGGTTCTCAGAACGAACTATTGGTAGGTTGTCAAGCTACCATAAAAATGATCGCGTATTTACTAACAAATGTTGACACATGTTACAGGTCTTACCAGCTGATTGTTTAAAATACATGTATAGAGAGAAATCTTTTTGTCCTGCACTTCAAGTGTAGCCATCTCTGGGGTAACCCACAGCACACATTACTCAACAACTTGGAAAAGAGAAGGAGTCTATGGCCTACTGAAATAGCCATGGGGAAGGAGATAGGCAATTAACCTCAGCGACAAAATCCAACTGGGGTAACACCCCTATTCTTGGGAGAAGACCATGAGTGATCTGAAAGCGTTACATCCGATCTGAAAGAACCACCAGTAACAGCAGTGATCTCAGAACCATGACTGGGCACTGGCTCACTCTGGATTCAGTAGGTGACACTTTTCCCTTTGAATTACCAGCACCATTTCACTTCCCACAACACTTGGGCTTTCCCTATATCCTAGCCAAGTACCTGCTTAGCTTATGTGGTCCAGCTAGATCTCGGCTTAGTGTGGTCTGAGTGCCAGAACATTGCATGGTCGGCTGTCCAAACACCCTCATTAGTCATTCCCTTCCTACTGCTCTGTAAAACCAGTATTTTGAAGTACTTACAGGACTGGAAAGGATGAGATTAAGGGAGCTGTAGAAGAGGACTCACCACTGGCACACCTCCTTGTGGCTGGTTGTGGCATAGCGTGCTCTCGGTGTCCCCTGCTAACAGCTGGTCAGGCTCTGTGGTGACATGCTTCTTCTGGTGACTCAACCCATCCAGCCAGGTCACTTTAAAGTGTCTCCTCTTCCAGGGAAACCAAAAATCCAACAAACAATTGTCCAGCATACTCAAGCCAACTCTTTGACCCAAGTCCCAGCTTGCTAGTCCTTCCACTCATGGTTTGCAGGGTCTTTGCATAACCTTTGTTGCCAACCAGGGAACCCAGACCCTCCAGCCCAGAGACCTTGTTACAAGCAGGCAAGGTCTGTCCATTCAGGCCCCCTACTTCCGCCTTGAGCTTCTTCCTGGCTGAGCCAGTACATCAGCCCCTTCCTAGGCTCACCACACACCGACATTGCCCCCCAAGCTACCAGAGGTCTCAGGCTTTACCCTTCCTGCAGGGCCTGGCTTGCAGCATTCCCCTGGAATTCTCCAAATCCCCAACCAAAAGTTCAAACTTAAACCACTGCTGTCATTGAAGTGGAGTTCTTCACAAGCCTTCTGCAGTACTCTGCTCCTCAGCTGAACACCAGCACCATCTCCCCAGAGCTTTGGCCCCAGTTTGAGACCCACCACCAGAACTATCTCCCCTCTTACTGCTTTTCACAGTTCTCTCTCCCGACATCTATGAGCCCATTTTCAGACAGCAGGGTCATCTCCAGCTGAACCCTCTTAAGCCTTTTAAGGAAACTTGACTCACTTCCAGGTGGATCTGCTAATTTACCTACTTGGCACCTCTCTAGTGCCAGCAGGTGCATTAATTGAGCATTCAGACTCCTGCTAACCCTCTCGGTACCAGTGTGGGCTTTACACCCTATCACAGGGGCCCTCACTTAAGGACCTGCTGTCTGGGCCAGATAACGGCAGCCCTTTCTGTGCCCCCGGTTCATTGTCAAGTTACCAAGGCTGAGCGCCTCTAACTGAAGGGGTCTGCCCTTGCTGCTGCTTTGTAATTGTCTCCCCTCGCAGTGACCCACTTCTATAGTGGGTGTGACTCTTTCCCAGCCCTAGGCAGTGCCAGCTTTCTCATACAAATGCAGCATTGCCCATCTTCCCAGAAGTGACCTTGGGCCACGTAGGCACAAAATAAGTGCTCTTGGGCTAGACATGGAGGACAGAGTTGAGAATCAGCCCTTTTCTCCAAGTAAATACATAAGATAGCACTTCCATCACAGTCATCGTACACACCCCTTTGTTAGAAGTGAGGGAGGGCTCCCATGCTGACGTTTGAACTTTACATAGCAATTCATGCCGACCATAAGCCTTTGCACAAATTCCACAAACCTAGGCTTTGTTTTGGGTATCCTTTGTAGGAAGTTAGCAAGGGTGCAAACGCCAGAGATAGGCAAGGAAAGGCAAAATCTGCACCTGCTCAGTTCACCCCAATATCAAGCAGAGGTAAATTCAAGCAGTGCCACTCGCAGCATTCCCTGATTCTACAGGGGGTTTCAGCCTTCGCAGCCATACTTGTTGCTGGGGTCTGACGTCTGAATTGGAACTAGTCCAAAGTATAGACCAGGCCCTAGACTGGGGTCAAATTCAGATCTGATGTAAGTGGGTGCACCTATTGAATCGCCAGGGATGGGCAAGCACAAGCCCGCCTACATTTAAAGTAAGTGGGTGCAACTGCACGTTGCATCATGGGGTTTCAACCCATTTACATGAGGCCTGAATTTGGCCCTGCTCCCATTAGGTCAGCAATACAGCACACAACTCAAATGGTGAGCAAAAAGCACCTTCTGAAAGTGGAACAACTTTGCTATTAGAAGGGCTGTGCCTAAGGAAGGGAGTAACCATGAAGGAGAGTTAAATTTTAGTAGCTTTAAATATTTAGCACTTGTTTTCTTGACCCTCATATACTCCACTTGACTTGTGTTTTGAGCTCTGAATAGTCACACTAGAGGTGTTGAGAATAATGGTATCAGCTGAAGCTTTATTTTTTGGCTCATTCTGGATTAGTCTAATTGTCCATTCTTATTAGATATCAAAATGGTTAAACTCGTTAAGGTTACTGATCTGTATAGAAGATCCATAGAACAACTATCTTCTTGTCACTGAAAAAAAGATGGTCTTCATTTGCTAGGGCCTTTGGTTCTTTATCCACCAGCCTAAAGTAAGGCTGAATGCTGTTATGCTGCCACCTAGTGACAAGATTTGGAAACTGAATGTAATCAAAGACAACACAGGCCCAGTTCAATTCTTGAGTTATGCCGATTTGTATTGACGTTTTGACGTTACTCTGCATTTACACCAGTGCAGCTGAGACCCGAATTTGGTCCTCCACTTCTGTTCTGCACACTGTCTGTCAGCCAAAGGCTAGCTCCAAATACTTTTGGACAGGCCAGTTACAGTTATCTAACAAAGAGTAGCAGAGAGCAATAGTTACAGGCCCAGAAGAGAGAGGCTGTTGGCTCAGCATTGAAATAAATTGGATTTTTATTTTTTATTTTGTAATTCGATGTTCTGTCTTTAGCACTCATTTCTGCTGTGTGCCCTCTGTTTACAGTGAATACTGTAATGTTTTCATTTTAAATATATGACACTGTAAATTCACCCTTTATTTACAGATAACTCTCTTCACTGTTCTTAGGAGGAAAAAGAAGTGCATTCGGTACTTACAAGGAGAAGGACCCTGTTCCAGCCCAGTTTCTTCCGATGGAAGTGCTATAGACTCCCCTCCCTCTCCTCTGGATACACTCCAATGCATATCCTCTGCTTTTACTTCAGACAAGCTTGCTACACCTGCTGATTTCGCACACAAAGAACAACGCAATCCTTTCCCCACCTCTATTCATGTCAAAAGCGCTCCATGCTCCTCTGGACTGACCACTCACTGCTCATCCACGCCACATGTGTCAGTAGCATCCAGCGACTCCTCAAAGTACAGTGTGCCATCAACAGGAACATAGGACCACATTGTACAAGTCAACACTTACTAATGCATGGGGCACTTTGCTTTTACCAAGTGGTTTTGCTGCCCATTGAAATGGACTGGAGGCTCATCCAAATTACCCATCATGCTGTAAAACTGTGTTTTCAAAGTCAAGGGACAGCTGTGTCCTGAGCCCCCAACTGATTCAAAGATGCTGGAATAGTCAACGTTTTTATCTAGAGCAAAGATAGAAAAATGGTGTCTCCCTCCATAAAAAGGGTGAAATGAGGACTCGCCAAAATTAAAAATGCCAATCAGTAAACAAATCTTTCATCCCCACCCTGCGCTTCCTTTTACTGCATCATCTGCTCAAGTAGATGAAAGTGAAAGCTAACTCCCGGGCTTGTTGCATTAGATGGTAGAGGCTATAAATCTTAAGCATTGGTTTCTGTTTCTTGCATCCCAAACAGCTTTGAATCATAGTCAGTCACAGATCTCTGGCAGCTATTTCACCATGGAGTTAGGAAAGCCCGTCTCTGTCTGAGAGCTAAATGTTGGGAAGCTAGATTTCACTCTGACTGGCTTATAAGAAAAAAGTGAAATATAGGCAAATATTATTAAACTTCTTGTTCGAGGACAAGAAATTATTGGTTACAGGTAACAGGTCTTTGCAGACATGTCAAGTTCTCTTAGCATACACAATGGCAGACAAACAGTGAGAGCACTCAAGGCAGAAAAGGAAGCTTGGACTGGCTGCTTGAAGGTCTATCTAGCCAATGTTTCATTGTTATAGAGCTAAAATACAATAGTAACATGTCAGTCAGGTGCAGAGTCCTCCTTGCTGCTCAAGTTCTTCACAGTAAACACTGGAGAATCAGACCCCTTCAATAGAGGACCTTGCAAGGCTCAAAGTAGACCCCATTTGCCATTAAGGCCTTGATCCTACAAGTTCTGGCACAATAGCTGCAGCAGGGTCCATGAGATTATTAAGAATCAGCCCAAGTGTAAATAGAGGCTATATGTAAGGTCAAAGCATGGCTTGCTGCACAGAGCTGATGTAACTCTCAAGCCCCTGTGCACTCGTTGCCTTACTCTTACAAACCCAGAGTAGGGTTAACAGGGGATGTTCATCACATTAATGAGGTGCTTACCTCCACTCTTCCCTTTTCAGCCTTTCTCCCCTTGGAGGCAGGGATTTTGAAGCAGAACACAGTCCCTGCTGCAGGGTTTTGCTCCCCATCCCCTTTAACCTCAGGTGTCACTCTGCAGTGCAAGATCAAGCTCTCAGTGTGGTTATAAGTGAAATGAGCTGGTATACAGCTTCGACTAGCTAGTTACACTGTAGATTTTACAATGCAAATGATTTCCTCTCTGCTCCCTTTCCCATCTAGTGGCTGTCAAACATTAATACAGTCTCTCTCTCGCTCAAGTGTCTAGGGATTTCCGATATTTTATTTATATTTTGAGCCTGGTAAACAAAAAACCTTTAGGGGCCAGATTCTGATCTCAGCTCCACTGATGTAAATCCAGAGTTATTCCACAAAAGTAACTGGCATGACTCCAGATTTACACCATTGTAATTAAGATCAGAATCCAGACCCTTGTGGGTTTTTTCCTGCTTTATAAAAAACCTATTCTAGAGCAGTGATTCTCAAACTTTCGTACTGGTGACCCCTTTCACATCGCAAGCCTCGGAGTGTGATCCCCCTTATAAATTAAAAACTTTTTAAATATATTTAACACCATTATAAATACTGGAGGCAAAGTGGGGTTTTGGGTGGAGGCTGACAGCTCATGACTCCCCCCCCCCCCAATAATAACCTCATAGGCCCCAGAGGGCTCCCAACCCCCAGTTTGAGAACCCTTGTTATAGAGTGAAGAGAAAGTACCATAAAACATGGGGGAGGGGGGGAGGGGGAGGAGGGAAGAGAAGAGGAGGAGAGACTTTTTTTTTTAATTATACACGATAGGATTTAGAATACTGAATACAAACTTAAACTAGTAGTATATAGGCTTGCAAGAAATTTAAAAGGACCTTTAATAGACAAACTATTTTTGTATTTTTTTCTTAAGGCAACAAAACCTTTTTTTACATATGTTTATTCCAACTCATTAATAGGTTTCTATATCAGAGACTGAAGATCAGAAAGCTGCTTATAGTGTAGAGCTCTATAGTGATTGGTTCCCTCCACCCCATTTAGTTCCTGTTGCTTCAAGCTGCTGTAGATTTTGGGGGGGGAGGGGAGGGGACCATGCAAATTCTTTACAAGAAAATCTAACATGGTTGCTTTATTAATCTCCATTCTCTGTACAACTGTAACCTCCATTAGTACTAATGGAAGTTACTCTAAAAGAGCTTATTTAACCCTCAGACCACTGGCATTGTCTAAACTGCCACACATATATACATAAAAGCATATGCTGACAGTCACCACAGCATTAATGGTGTAGCACTGGTTCAATATTTGAACTAGTAGCATTTGAATGATTTCCAACCAATGTGGAAGACAGCATGGCCAAGTCGTTAAAGCTGAGGTAGGTGTCTATTTGCAGCTTAACCACTGACTGTGACCTTACGCAAGTCTCTTCACCACTCTGTGCCTCAGTTTCCCTATTTGTAAAATGAGAATGCTAATATTTTTTCAAGCACCTTGAGATTCTCAGATGTAAGGTGCTGTGGACGTGACAAGTAGTAGTAATAATATTAAAGCCACAATATATGGTTCAGCTATAGCATGGGTTAGTGGTTGGATAGGTTAGTCAAAAAAAATTGGGTGTGACAAGTGAAACTTGCATCTACTATAGTTGTGCAAAACAAATGTAACCTACTCCCTCAGCAGACACGAGAGGCGAGTACAAATGGACAAACAGAGGTGGCTAGCTAACAGCCCAGGATGCTATTGGGGAAAGTCCTGCTGTATGTAACTAGCACCCTTTGACCAAGGGCCAAACTCAATGCTGGAGTAAACAGACATCACTACCATTGACTTCAGCATTCAGTGGAAGTTGCACCCACTTAGTCTAATGCTAATTGGGACCCCAGAAGTGCATGGCAGCATCTGGCATAGTACAGAAATGCACTCCCAATTGGGAAGGGCCTGATATCAGTCTACTCTTAGTTGATTTCCATTTCCCACTGTTGCAGGATCTGCTTGGTGGCACTCTGGCTAACACCCCCTATTCCTCCTACAGCTTTTCCTCTTCCCCCCCAAAGTAGGCAAGTGATGTTTGCATAGTTCTGGAAGCAGGATTAGATCCCTCTGCAACTTACACCCATGTTCTGACTGATGTACACTATCACTAAACGTAGCCCTTAACCTCTAGCCTTCTTCTGACTTTAAAGCAAGGCAAATTATATTTTGCATAGATGTGCACATTCAGCTTTTGACCCTATCCTCTGCTCTCAGACAGCAGGGTGGAGGGCTGTAACTCCAACTTACACACACCAGTGTAACAGAGCAGACTTTGTTTATTATTCAAAACATGCAAGGAGACCTTGAAGCTGCCCATTCCAAGGAAAAATATTGAGTAAACGTTATCACCTTTTACAATATGCCACAGGAAGCCAAAACACAGATCCTAAGTTTTTTAAATACCAAAAAAAAAACAAAAAAAGTCTTTAGCTATGCTATAGGAAGTTTTACTTTTTTAAAAAAGAAAACCTTGCCTGTAAATTTTTACTGCAGCAAGATTTAGTTCTCATATGACAATTTCAATTTTTTTTAAATTACCCATTTGATTTCCTGTTTGAATGTAGAAGTCACAGAAATACCACTTCATTAAGTCAAGTAAAACCACTGTATGTATGTAGCACGGATAAGTGTTTTGCAGCTGTACTTTCATTTGTCCAATAACTATCCATCATATACTGTAATTTTTTTTTTTACTTCACTGAGTTTGTATTTTTTGGCTTTTATGTTCAAAATATGTTTATAAATAAAGAAGTGTGCCAGCCTGGCCCTTCAAAAAGGGCCACTGGAGGTTATAATCCTATAAAATCATATGATATGATCTCATTTCTTACTATTTTAAAGATTCCTGTGTTTCCTCCCCACCTGTAGGCAGCAGGGCTTTTTAGACTATTGCGTGTAGCTAACTGAGTATATGAATGACAAAGAAATCTGCTGCTTCAGTTACTAGCATTCTCCATATCACCAATCCTCTTTTCCATGCACAAGGGCCTAGTTCAGTCACCCTTTGCACTGGCTCAGCTAACAGCTGTATCTGTTACTGAACATGTCAAGGGGAAAAAGCCAAACAGAAAAGAACATGAGCACAGCTCAGAGGGGACAGAAGCAGCCTCATTTCTTTTTAAGCATTTTGAAATGAATGTAGTGCTGATAAAAGATGCCCATTTATTCACATCACTGACAGAAGCCTGGGCTACCGCCTCCTGTATTCTACTCAACACATGCTATGTCCCAATAACCTAGAACTACCACCTTTATATGTGAGGGGAGCTCCTGCTCCACCTCCTTACACAGCTGACTGATCTGAGCAGTCCAGTATGTCACTGTAGTCCCATATCCTCCCCCCTGCAACAGTCAAAAACCTAGATGCTTTAAAGAAAGGCGTAAGAATTCTGCAATAGGCAGCTATAAAATATGCACTATCCCTACCCGCTCCCCTGGATCTCATCCTGCTCTCTAGTAGACTGGCTTTAGCTCTCAAACATGAGCCTTAGTCTTTCTTCCAAAGCTTTCCCCCTTCATTAGTTAGGACAACCCTGGCTATTCTTGATATCCATAGAAACCGCCAATCCCTTTTTGACTCTGGTTAAGTTCACCCTACCTTATCTGCTGAAAGTAAGACAACTAATATTTCACAGGCTCCTACTGCCCTCGGCTGGTTTTGAACTGGCACTGCAGAAGCTGAAGCCTGTAGTCCTGTAATAACTCCTGAGCCAATCAGTTCCCCAGAGACACATTTCTAATGCACACTTATAAAGGAAGATGTGTAAAGGCTAAAGGATGAGCTGTTGGATTTAAATCAGGTTAAAACTGGAAGAGTTGAGATATTAGATTACAGTATCTGATTAGCAACAGCTGATTAGCTGAAAGTTTGGGGGGCCAGAGGAACCACTAATCCAAAACTACCTTGACTTGTGCTGGGGGTGGGATGGGCAGGGTTCTTTTCTCCAGCTCACCCAAACAGGAACACAGTAGGATACAGAGCAAGTGTTTTTTGGGCAGTAGATTAGGGCCCCGGCTAAAGCCTGAAGAGTTGCTCCCCTAAACAGAGGCATAATCAGCTATTTTGATGGAGCAGCCCCACCCCCACACTTCTAGTTTTCAGAATTAGCGTAAGGAGTACCAGGGAGCATACTTCCTACCTTAGTCCCTTTAACTAGGCCTGTTCTCCAAAGACCTCCACACAGCACTTATCACATTGCTTCTCCCTTCACACACAGCTCAGAGGCACAAAGACTAAGTTTTACCTATGCTCCTCTCCCCAGCAGGGTGGGTGGTCTTTAGCACACAGATTTCTATTGACAGTGCCTCAAATCAAGGGCACCCATAAACTCCCCTCTGTAGCTTTGCTACTTGAACTCACTTAAGGCAGCAAGTAGCATTTTAAGAGGGCGTGTTCTGCTTTGAAGAAAAAATAAAAAAATCACACTACTTTCCCCAAACTTTGGTACAGGCACAGCATTTTTTATTTATTCTTTAAAACACTAGACTAGTTAGAATATCAGCTCATTGCTCCAAGTGGCATTTTAGACTAGAGAGAGTTATTCTGAGGTCACAAGAATCCTGCAAATGAACAAACATCTTGGATTATCAAACCATCCATTGAAGATCAGCAATTCTCACACCAGAGGAGACACCGCTTCTCAGGTGCATTACCTACAGTTAGGACAATTCAATACATATTCTTTAGTCTGCCCCCCCCCCCCCCCACTTTTCCACTTGTGCCATGTGGCACTACACATCTGCCTCCTCCCCATCCTAAACTCTGACACAGTCCTCACTTTATGGTACAGCTGAGCATTGATACCCGCCAAGCCTAGGTCAGGACGTACTGGCAGATAGCAAGAGTGCAGCTGAGCTGCATATAGGTTTGCCTCTCATCTTCTAACGATGCCTTATGACATGGGAAGGGAACATTTAACGAGAGAGAGGTGAACTGCTCCCGATTCGTAGGACTGCAGTGTCTCTTCCACCCACTAAAAAGAAGAATCAGTTTGAAGTTGGGTATATCGCATCACTTTTTGTGGTGGCCAACCCTTGTCTCAGGGGATAAACTTTCTGAGTGTAAGCCCTTTGTTGCTGAATGCAACATAAAACAAAGCCTAAAAACAAGTTCATCTTGATACCTGTGTTAAGGAAAGAATTGAACATCAAAGGATCCAGGACCTTGCTTTAATATTAGTCTTCGAAACAGGATTAACTTACTCCACTAACCATAGCACTGGGTCTCATTTTCTTTCCTAAAGAGTATACTGTTTCCTACAGAAGATTTTTGGTGTTAACATGTCTAAGATTAACTGCATTGCTTGCATAGAAGAGGCCCCATGCGTCATCAAGAGCATTTATTTTTGGTAGCATTAGGATGCTCCAATGATGCTACCATTAAACTGAACCGAGGACCCATTATCCAGCAACCCCTCTTGAGATGCTTTGGCAGGCTGGAGGAAGCCAGTTAAGGGATGGATGGAGAGCAAGTTTGCTTGGGTGCTACAGCAGTGGCTCGCCAACTTTTCATGCTGTTGACCATCTCTTAATAGCTATCCCCAACTCTCCATTGTTTGTCACTCAGTTCCATGGACTGTAGTCGGAGAAACTGTTTATAGTGCAAACTGCCAGTCAGTCAACACAGAGTCAGATGTTAAAATGTTCTCTACATAGATTGTTTATGCAGCAGCTACATGGAAGTTTACCAGCAACTTCAAGTTTTAATGTTTAGCAAGACGTGTGCTATTCACTGAGTGTTCTAGAGGCTGTCAAGTTGCTCGTTAAATTAACTAGATTTTTCTAACACAATGGTCATTAACCCTTTAACACCACTTAGTGCAACACCATGACCTTTAAAATGAAGATAAGTATATTTATTAAGGTTAATTCTAGTCTAAGGTTTATACAGAAAATGGAATGCAATAAGCTAAGATCACACCTCAAATGTTTAGTACACATCCATCTCCTTCTCCCTATAAGGGAACCGTAAAAGTCAGAAAACCAGTTACTGTTTAACTAGTTGCAAGTGGCTTTGTCCAAAAGAAGTCACACTAGATACAGCGTTAGCTTTGTTTTGTATGCAATAATGAAGAATCTACAAGCTGTGATTGTGTACAGTACATAGGTGAAATATTTCTTGCAGACACATGAAGCCATGTTTCATAAAGCTACATCACAAGCGGGTTTAGAATTGCCTAAAGCCAGCTACTAATGACATGCTGGATCAGTAAGTTTAACTTTGGTAAAGTCAGTCATTTTTGGTCAAACTGGGAATTAGCTTTTCCTATTAAAATTCATAACTCTCCTGTGCCTACAGCAGTTCAGATTTTGCTTTGTACCAGCTAGAGGCAGGTCTTAAGATACATGGCTAAAAAGAGTTTCAGGTTAACTGTAACTAGCTTACCCAGTTTTTGGGAAACCCACATTTGTGCTAGGGCTTATTTTCTGCAGGCAAAACTGAAACAGGGTTAGAAAGTACTAGCCACTGAAGAGATTTTGTAATTTCTAAGTATTTGCCTGTGACCAACTAAGAACTGTGTCAAGTACTAACTTACTCCAAGGGTAATAATCCTTCATATTTAGAAGTTTGGAGGAAATTCAACAACTCTTCACTCAGCCTGGTTCCCCAAGAAACCCTTTGTTCTTTGAATAAAAATATGCTTTGTTAATTCTATTTCAGAAAACATTTGCAAGTGGTTTTATTTACAGTGGAGTTTAAATGCTTATCTAAATTCTGACATCTCAAGAGAACATTGTAACTGGACATGGACAGTTAAGAGTAATGAACAGGATGGCCTGAAGTGCTATTTCCATACAGAATCCACGCTTAGTTCAGTTTTATTCTTTGCAGGGTAAAGTAAAAAGACATCTGATTACACTGGTAAAAACTCAACCATAGGATTTAAATCTGTACTCAAAAAAAACCACTACACATGCAAAGGGAACAATATCCTGCTAATACAACTTCATTTGCTGCTGCATTTGTCTAATATTAACAATTATAAACAGAGCAGTGCAACTAGTATTTGGAACGATCCTTACAGTGTTAGAGTGTCAGGCACAAAACTTCACTTCTCTTCACACCACTGGTTTTCTTTGCGTACCTTAAACAAGATAAAGCTTTAATTAGATGCAGTGCTACACACATGCTATGAACTTCTAAAAACTAATTAGACAAAAACAGTCACAGTGGCATCTTGGATTATGCTCCTTTCCTGTAAAATAGGGCGACACTGGAAGAAATGCTGAATTTTTACTTGGATGGTTGAAACTAATTTTTGTAAAATATTTACCATTGCAGATTGAGAAGTTACCGAAGATAATATATGCATCTTTCAACTACTTCCTAAGAAACTATTCCTGAGTAGAACATGGTCATCTTACTATACATCAGCAGCTGGCTGCTGACACATCTCTGTGACCTGTGGGGAAGGATCACTGTACACTGCCTGCGTCCACAAGCACTGCCCCTGCAGCTCCCATCGGCCAGCTCCTGGACAATGGGAGCTGCAGGGACAGTGCTGGGGGTGGGGGCAGCACACAGAGCTGCCTTCCCCCCACCCCAGGGGCCAGAGACATGCCAGAAGCCAGCTGCTTCCGAGAGCGGTGTGGGGCCACGGCAGGCAGGCCGGCCGGCCGCCTGCCTGAGCCCCTTAGCGACCCAGAGATTGCAATCGACTGGCAGAGGCTCCACGGATTGGTGACCACTGCTATACATGATTTAGGAAGAGCTGAAGTGCATTGACTTCACACTCAAGTTCTTCACACACTGTTCAATGATGTTTGCAGCTTCTATAGTACTCTGCTTAAAAATGGTTGTTGAATGATCATTTTAAGGTAGATCATAAATCACAGCTTGTTTTATTTAACTCTTTGAAAGGCCTTATTAGGGAAATTCTGAGCAGCTTGAATCTTCGTAGGTGGGTGCCCCAACACACCTTCAGCTTTACTGTTGAGGCTTTTGAAAGGGCAACAAAGGACTATTTATGGCAACCCAGAATATCCTATTACTGGTTTAGCTTCAGTGATTTACTTAGGGTTTGTCTACTCTATGGAGGCTACAGCACCATAGCTGTGCCACTGTAACCCCATAGTGCAGACATACTACAGCGATAGTACAGTGACAGAAAAAAACCCTTCTAACTCCATCTCTGAGTGGCAGCAGCTAGGTTAAGGGAAGTGTTCCCTCAACCTAGCTGCAGCTAACACCAGGGTTTAGGTCAGCAGAGCTACCTTACTCCAGCTATGTTACTCAGGGGATGGGAAATCCCCCCCCCCCCGGCGTGATATAGGTCAATCTACATTTTAAGTGTAAATCTGACGGTCAAAAAAGTTGAGCAAGTCTGACACGGCGATATTAATTCACTGGTGAAAAGTGAACATGAACATTAACTTGTAACGGTATGTCTACACAGGGATAAGAAACCTGCAGCACGGCCGCAGCTGGCCTAGGTCAGCTAACTTGGGCTTGCAAGGCTAAAAACTGCTATGTAGATGCGCAGGCTGGAGGCTGAGCTCTGGGACTCCCCACCCCCAAGGTCCCAGAGCTTGGGCTCCAGCCCGAGCTCAACCCTCTACTCAGTGATTTGTCAGCTCCGGAGCCCTAGCCACAAAAGCCTAATCAGCTGATCTGGGCCAGCCACAGGGTATGTCTACACAGGGATAAACTTAAGTGGCAAGTTAACGGGGACACCAATTCTAGCACAATTGCTTTACACTTTATAACATTTGGACCAAAAATCCTAGTTTTACCTGGGAAGTCTGTGGGTTGAAACACATATAGCTATAACACTAGTGTGGCTACTTCAATGTATAAGCAACCCAGAATTTAATGAAACCCAGACTATGGAGTACCTGTGCTTCTTCCTCTTCAGTGAAGTCATTCTTGATATTGAAGGTCTTGCGAATTTCTTCTGGAGTTTTCCCCTTAATCATATTTGCAACTGTCTTGCATGTGACATCAAGCAAACCTTTAATGTCTAAGTAATTTGCAGCCTGCAAAAAGAGTCACCAGATTTAAAGTCAATGTTCTGCCTCTGTGGATGTACAACCTCAAACCAAATACAGGCTACTTTCGTTTTATGATAAACGTATTACTTTAGTACCTCATTACAGCAAGCATTTAAGTATATTGGACAGGGCAGTCCTAGTTGAACGGTTCACATAGTTCTAAGCAAACTTAAAATTTGAGACATTCCTGTTAGAAAGGGCTTATAGAAGCCTATGAACACGGAGGTCTTCGGGGCAGCCAGTTGGCTATCCAAGCAATACAGACATTGCCTGTACTAAGTGCACACCAACTTACATACCATTAGGGTCAAGGGGAACTAGGCCTCAAAACATTAAGACTGAATTCTGAAGTTAGAAGTGGGTTCAGGCTGCTCACCAGAATCTAGTACACAATCCTATTCCAAATGAAGGAAGTTACCGTGTCTGCGACAAACTTGACTCAGAAGACCCAATTCTGAACTTGAGTGCAAAGCTAAACATCAAATTTGTACTTGGGTCTGCAAGTGTAGATTGGGCTGCTTAGTATTAGGTAAGCATTTGAAGAATGTCCACAACACTTATCTTGAATGATTTTACTATGAACTGGGAAAAGTCAGACCAATTCCACCACTTCTAGGTACACAGCCAAGATAAAGTTCAGAAGTCTAGAGAATGTCTGAAGAGAGCATCTAATGGAACATGAACACCCACCAGGATAAGTTCAAAAAGTGTTCCTTGGTCTACTTTCAGGAATTCTTGGTCCCACACAGGGATGTCATCTGTTCGTTTTTCCTTGTTCTCATCGTCCTCAGGGGGAGGTGGATCATCCTTGTGGTGGGTGCACCATTGGATCACCTGATATTAAGACATTCGAATCAATATATTAAAAAAAACACACACTGTCCTTAAGCATTTTCATCAGCTCTGTTTAGACTGACTTCAGATTACAGGAACAGTTACTTTCCCAAAACTGCAAAAAAGCCACAAAATCTTGGACACAATGTGCTGTGTCAGTGCTATTTGTGCCAGATGGTAAGACATGTACAGACCCAACAGTCTTAAATACAAGACCCTGGAATTTCAAAGCCTTTTAAAATCCTGTTGAGTGCGCCTGGGTAATGAGAGTCAGACATTTTGGTTCTCGCGATTTCCCAGAAGGTATTTGAGCAGATTTACATTTGCATTAGTGCACTGTCTAATCAAACACAGCATTAACATTAAGAGCACAGTTCTAACACAAAAGGGTTTAAGTATGACCTTCTCCATACACTTGAGAAATGCAGATTAGTTTGCTTAACAAGAAAACTACCACCTATTGGCAGACAGCATGGTCAGGCATTAGTGCTACTCTGTGTGAAAGATTATGCATTTGTATTAGGGAGAAAACAAGTAGTTAATCTACTAATATTACATTTTTTATTTAATCTGAATTTTGACTAGTGAAGTGTTACCTAAGCACTGCACAAGGAATATAAGAGCAGGCAACCCCTAATCTCCTTTTGCACTCTGGCTAGGAGTTTATAACACACTGTCCTAGCCTCACTAGTCAAACCCGGCTTATTATAGAACTAACCCAATTCATTTCAAACATTGAAATTGGTTCAGACTCTTCCAACACAATGCAGACAGGGTCCTCAAAGAGACCTGACCTACAAATTTGTTCCTCCTTTCATTTCACCTAGTAACAACAGATTCCAGCCAGTGCATTTAATGATCTGAACGTGAGCCTCCCCATCTTTCGTTTCAATTTGGTGTGCTCAAGTGAGTCCTCAGATAACACCAGCTGTAGACTTCTTGTGGAGAACCCCAGGACAAGAACAATGAGGGAGTGGATGACGAGTTTGGTGCACAGCATAGTAGGTCTGGCAACAGCTATTACCATTGCTACTGGCCCCTCACTCTAAGCATTAATATGAAAAGATTTGTTTTATCTGTATGATTTACAGGAAAAATCTCATCTAGAAATTTAAAACTGCAGTTCAACAAATCCTGCTTTTGACTGATAAACAGTTTATGTTCTAAAAAATGTAACTGGTACACAAGGAAGTTTGTGTTTAAATCTAGTATTTCCAGTTCTCATTAAGTGATGGCTCAGTCTACACATTTTTGTAGTTCAAAGCTACTAACAGCACCTTGGTAGCATCTTACCTTTTTTAATATAGCTGCATTAACATTCGGAAGAGGAACTGGGTCATCATCTCCTTCATCATCCATTCCCAGATCTAAGAATGGAAAGAAAATTTAGATGCTGTAACTTGCCATTCACTCATTTTTCTGAAATTCAGATGGCTTCATCAATCCACAACTACAGATATAATTCTGATACAGAATGTTGCTAATCCACTCGATTTGTATTCAGATTATGGTTCTACTGCTAAATTAAGCATTCTTAGACAAGGCTTCATAATACCACGGCTGCATCACTTTTACATGCTATGTAACAGAATGCTCATCATACTCAAGTAGCTAATATTTTTATTTATGTAGGTTTCCTTATTCACAAGGCTATTAAATTGCCATTAGATGTTCTTTTCATCCCTATTTCACTGTAATCCCACTATTAACAGTGTTGGATAATTGGAAGGAAAACTCTCTAGCCACTACCAGCTTTTAGGTCCCAAATTTGCTATCAGCATTCCAAAAAAGAATTCCCTTTGAATCTATTAAATGAGATCTTAATGAACTACAAACTATACTTTGTCCTCTCTGCAGGATCAGTTTATACTGTAGCCATAGAGATTCTGGGTATTTGGCTTACAAGGCACTGTATATTGAAACATAAAAGCCATATTAGTTTCCAGAGACAAGGTGGGTAAAGATATTACCTCACCCACCTTGTGTCTCAAATATTCCGGGACTGATACAGCTACAACACTGTATACAACAGTTAATTTCCACTCTATTTGAGGCAATGACAAATCACTTGACCACATTAAGAAAAATTCTTTAGGGAATGTGGTAAAACCAATAACCACTGTTTGAAAAAATTCAGAATACACTTGAGACATGTGTTAAACACATTTATGCTCTACTGAGTCATCAAATTCAGAATTAAGTGACTAACAGCATCATGTAGAGAATATTGAAAGCACACTGCAATTCACAATGTAGACTTTAATCCATACCTGGATTGAACTACACAGGATAAATACCACATTAAAGTAATTGCCCTGATTAAAACGAAGCACCATACCATTTTATTGCAAAGCAAGATATCAGAATTGGTATGTTATCTTAATTTGAGTGCCCTGTATAAGGGTATGCAGCCATGTAAAGTGATGCATAAAATTATCTATGCATTTGATGAATAACTGAGCTGCATCATCCAAATACATTAAGAAATTAACTTCGTTAGAATACACCACTGTTGCACCTGCACCACCACCACCACCACCACCACCACCTCAAAGCAAGCTAACATGCCAATGTCCTACCTACACTGGCACTCCACAATTACCACTATTGGGAGATTTTAAACAGAAATGCTACTGTTATCCAAGTCTACTTGCAGTAATGAGTTATAACAGGTATTGTGTATTTCACGGATGATCATTTTATTGGAAACTTCAAATATACTTCATTGAATGCAGTGACATATATAGGTGCAGCAAGAGAAGCTAGTTGTCAAAGTGTTGGACTGTGGAACGAAGAATTTAAACACTCCAAGGAAGAGAGCAGATATGTCCTGGCTGAAGCCTCTAGCACCCCCTAACTAGGAAAGACTGCCTCCTGCTTTCTTGGGGTAGGTCTACACTTACCTCCGAGTCCGGAGGTAAGCAATCGACCTTCTGGGATCGATTTATCGCGTCTTGTCTAGACGCAATGAATCGATCCCAGAAGTGCTCACCGTCAACGCCGGTACTCCAGCTCAGCGAGAGGAGTACGTGGCATCAACGGGGGAGCCTGCCTGCCGTGTCTGGACCCGCGGTGAGTTCGAACTAAGGTACTTTGAATTCAGCTACATTATTAACGTAGCTGAATTTGCGTACCTTAGTCCGAATTGGGGAGTTAGTGTGGACCAGGCCTCAGTGTCAAAACCCTATCTGTCCCACCATCCCCCTTTCAACCCTCCAGTTTCTCCTCCTGTTCCCCTTTGGAGAGAATTCTGCATTATCAGCATATGAATCTGCAGCAGAGATGTCTGGGAGCAATAGTGAGTGTTTTATTGGCACAAGAGATTCTAAAGCAGTAAGAGGCAGTGCCATGTAATTCCAGAGTTCCCAATACATGGTTTGTCTAGTGTGCTACTTCTGATTTTCAATGTAAACCAAAAGCCACTGATAACACTGAAGAGTTTAACAATTTTCTGAACTGTAAAAGTGGCAAGATCCCTTTGGATGGGCTTACCAAGCAATTGCATTCTCTGCCACCTGCTCAGAGAACTTTTATAACTTCCTGCTCATGTTTTCCAAATTGTTTATTGGTCACACAGAGCAGCATCACACTAAGCAGCTTTTGGTGGTGTTACAAGGTGGAAATGACAGACAAACAGTAAAAAATAAAAAAAATACAATTTTAAGTGTCCATAGTATTTTATCCTGTCTCTCATTGCTAAAAACAATTTCTACTTGAGGGTATGCAGTCTGTTCAGCTAGATCTATAAAAGTCATTTCTAGAAGTTAAGGCACTAACGTATTCATTTCTAATGTTTGGGATTTTGCGTGTAAGAGCACAGACAGGCATCCCTATTGAGAAGGATTAGGCATAGGTTTGCTATACATACAGACCATCTGGTAGACTTGCACAGATGTTGGTTTGCAATTTGTGTCAGTGGGAGATCAGAGCTAAGTATTATCCTGAATAATTTAACTGCTTTCACAAATGAGACACAAAGGTTTCTGCTTTAATTTTCCATGTATTGAGACTTTCTGAAGTCTCATCCAGTGTTCCAACATATGAAGGCGAGATCCACTGTATTTGGAGCTGACCAAGCCATCCGGTCTGTCCATCTTTGCAGTATCTACTATAGTTTAACATATTAAAACAGTAAGCTAAGGCTGCATGCAAATGAAGGTAGGTGGCTTGTGTTTTTATGAACCTCCTTTCTCGAAAAGTGTTGGAACTACACAAGACTAGAATATTCAGGGGACATAAGCATTTTAAAGGGCTTTTGCCTAAGAGTCCGTATAACCTAGACTAGAACTGCTGTTAAACGTCAATATATTTGTAACTTTTGGTTCTGTTCCTACCACTCCACATGGGAATGCCAGCTTTCCTTATACCCCTACAGGCAATATCTAGATGGCACTTTTAAGTGACTGCCTCAGCCAGCTGCAGGGTGGATAAAAATCAATTAAAAAAAAACACCTGATTTTTTTATTTAAATCCTCCCCCCCCCCCACAAAAAGCATTATCAAAATCTGATCTAAAGATAGTTTTAATTAGGATACATTATAGCTTAAAGCTCTCTCATCATGGAATCAGGATTATAAATTCTAATTCTATAGTATTCATGTAATGTTTAAGAAAAGTTTTGTAAATGAGTTACAATAGTTCATGGATTAGGGACCCAATCTTGTGGGGTTCCAGGGGCTTCTGTATAGATTATTTAGGTTAATCTTTCTTAGGGTGACCAGACAGCAAGTGTGAAAAAGTGGGGGGGGGAAGGGTAATAGGAGCCTATATAAAGAAAAAGACCCAAAAATCAGGACTGTCCCTAATAAAAATCAGGACATCTGGTCACCCT